ATTTTAGAGTTACTTCTACCTCTAAAGTTATATGCAGGAGACAATCAAGTAGGAAGAAATTCTATTCTCGTACATTTTTTAAATATGTTTTTCATTTCATTTAACTATGTGTTGGTCACTATTTTAGGGTCTTTGTGCAGAAAGAGACTTCAAGGTAAAGCATGGTGGCTTTTCAGAGGAACCTGTCGAGTGTTTGATACATATCCCAGGAACAAGGTAATGGCTGGATTTGGGTTTGTTCAAAAATGGAGATATTTACTTTCAAAGTGCTGGTTATTGGTGTGCATTAACCTGGTCATATAAATCTTTTTCAGTTAAAAATATTCTTTAAAGTCTCTTTAAAAAAAAAAAAAAAAAAAGGCTGCTAATCTTGGTTATTTAAATTAACAGTAAATTTTCATTTGTCTCTTTAATGACATGTGCTAATGGATTATTTGGTAACACTTATCAACGTTATTCATCGTAACCTAGCTACTCATTGAGTATGTTTACATGAACACCAATAATCTGATTTTAATACGATTTATAAAATACTTAGATTAGGAGTCTACTATTTAAACAGCGATTTCTGATTACCATATTCCGATTAGCTTGTAATCGAACTAAATAGAAATCAAATTAAGACACGTGGAGTATGCCGATATAAGTCGCATTATTAAAGTGCAGTACAGACATGTAAACACCTTGATCAAACGATTACTGTCATTTAGGTTTTTCACCGTATTTTGCAACAGGATAGTCTACACACACATGTTTGTTTGACACTACTCTCTGCACCTACTGAGAGTGAAAGACCTCAGACACCTGCATCAAATGCTGAGGTTTTTTCCCCATATGGTGTGTGATATTAAATTCCATTAAAACTACACTCTTGTTTGTCATGGAGGGCATGCATGAAATGTTCCTGAATGAAAGTGATAGTGCCAAACTGCAGTTAAAGTCGACAAATTAAAGATGAAACACCCGAAATTACATGAAACTCCAGAGGATATGTGAATAGCGTGATGACACAATTAATCGAATTATGTGCTGTAACGTGTAAAACAGGATCATGACAGGAACATCAAAAAGAAACTCATATAAACACCTTAATTATGTTATTGTCGTGTTCAGATTAAGGCAAATAGTTTGATCACTGATGTCCATGTAAACGTAGTCACTGATGAAAATAATTGTCAACAGCAGTAAAGTTATTGTGAATGTTTTTCTATGCTCTTTTTTTTCAGATCTGTTTTGCTTCGTGCATATGAAACTTATTTTATTAAATTAATCACATTTAGCACTGTTTTCACCCCAGCCCAGAGTTTTTTCTATTTCTTTACATAATATCAGCTGTTCTTTTACAGGTGTTTGGTCACTAGTGGAAATTCTAATACACTGCAGATTTGGGACATTGGAGGTGATGACAGTGGTAGGAATTTCAATTTATGTTTTGAGTAAATTGATAATTACCACAAACTACGTGTCATGTAATAATAATAATTAAAAAAAAAAACTTTATCATTAAGCATTTATTTATAGAAAATGACAGTATAGGCCAATATGAAATATTCCATGTTTTCAAACCTTAAAATCTGGAAAAAAATATGTGAAGTTTCACAAACTAATTTCGAGAGGAGCACGTGATATGATTGATCGCGGCTGGAATTCCATCCACAATCATTAGTAAGCCAATCTGATTATTCCAAACTCACTATCAGTAGCCTGCCTAAAACTACTCTCCTATTTTCATTTTTTCGAAGAAACCCCTCATCCAACTTATCTTTCCCCTTTTCCTCTTTTAACAGGGGGAGCTCTCGAGAACTACCTGTTCTCCTACCCCCTTACATGCTTTTTATCAAGCAACATCTAAGTGTGAACTCTTGAAGCATATTTTATGCACATACAATTAAAGTCAGAATTATTAGCACCCCTCTTTATTTTTCCCCAATTTCTGTTTAACAAAGAGAAGATTTTTTATAACAATGGTTTGTTCTCTAGACTATCGGGAAAAAATATAGGTTAAAGGGGCTAATAATTTTGACCTTAAAATGGCTTTAAAAAATTAAAAACTGCTTTTATTCTAGCCTAAATAAAACAAATAAGACTTTCTCCAGAAGAAAAAATATTATCAGACATACTATGAAAATGTCCTTGCTCTGTTAAACATAATTTGGGAAATATTTAAAAAAAAAAAAAGAAAATTCAAAGGGGGGGCTAATAATTCTGACTTTAACTGTACATGTAGATTGCTAATAAATGGATGCTTTTTAAAAATATTTAAGATGTAAAAACCCTGAATATTTTACATTGACCTGTCATTGTTTTCTACAAAGAAATGGCCAAAAATATTTTCTTATTTTAAAATGTTATCAGATTATTAAAAATTATTTTTTAAGCAATGCTATATTTTTCTATTCATGGACCATTTCAAATTTAACCTGATTTTTCAACAGATGTTATAAAAATGACCAGAGTCATAAACCTCAAGAGCCCATCAGCAAAAGGCATTAAAATAACACCTGGATTCACAGACAGTCCAACAGTTCTTCATGGTTCTTGTATAAGTGACATACAGCTGACAGAGATTGCAACAGGACGAGTTCTGCATACAGTAGGTAATATCAGAAAAAAATACTTATAAATAAAAGCCACTTTTATAGCTCTTTTCAAATTCATTATTATTTTTTATTTTTTAGGAAAAGAGTCCTCAGATTCAGTGAGTGGCTTACAGTTTGTGAATGCTTTTGTGTTCCTCATCTGTTCAACCAATGGTGCTTTACTCCTTGGTGACACGAGAGATCCCTCGACTTGTCATTATCCTCTGGAAGAGAGTAACAGTGGTTTGCGCTGGTCATTTGGGCTGAGGAGTGACAGCTCTCAGTCAGAACCTTCCTGTTGTAAAGTAGCAAGACTGTCTTCTTCCGGTCACATGCTTCTCTCTGATCTAAGAGATTTAAAGAGTCCTTTTTGTCAAACTCAAATAAAGGTCCCACAAAGTGCATCAAAGAACCACTTTATGAACATTTCTTGGGCCCCCGTTCTCGACAAATGTCTGTCTGTGTCAGGTCAGTAGAAAATGCATACATTTTTACTTTTTCATATAAGGAACATACACTTTTAGTCTTTTAATATTTTATTTGCAGTAAAGCATTCTGTATTTAGCGTTTAGAACAAGTTTGAATAACCTTAACAGCAGTTTATGGATAGCAAACATCCAGACACTTTCTGTTGAGATAGCTCTTTATATATGTAATATGTAAATATATCCCATTCATATCCGCTCAAAAACTAAATAAACATGCAAATAAAATTACAGCAGTGAGAATGCAGCTGTTTAAGATAGTATCTGATAATAGCTGTGTGGATGTTTGTATAAGCTCTGTAATATAGCATTTCAATTCATTAACTTCATATTTATTTATTTAGCATTATATATAGTGGTTTGTGTTAAACAAACAGCTTTTCAATTGTGTTGTTTCTAAATAGATTTACATTTTAAATTTGTGCTATTGACCTTAATTGTCAATGCGGAAGTGCGTTCGTTTTTGCGATTGTTTTAGAACTACCGATTCAACTTCCGTTGTTTATGAAAGAAATGCTAGGAACAGAAAACGCTCTACAAACAAGTGTTTGCATGATTATACAAAAAAAAATAGAATAATTCATTAAGAAAATATCAGTTCGCAACATCAAGCAGCAAAACTTGCTGTTGTAAATGTCTAAAAATGAATGGAAGTGAATGAGACCGGAAATCTTCAAATGGCTGCGCTCACTCCTATGCAGAGAATAAGGTGAATAAAGCTCCTTGACACTGTGCTTTACTCATCTCAATTCCTGCTACAAAAGAAATGAATTAAAATGTTGTGTAATTGTTTACTTACTTGTAAACAACACTACCAGATGAAGCCAACTTTTTAAAAAAGTTTGCTTTAACAAGCTGTTTGCAATCCCCATTTTTTATTATTATTTAAAATGATTACACATTAGTGTGTTTTAAAATTTAGAAAGGTATTTGGATTTAGTAATATTTACAAATATGAATCTCTTGTTACTCACTGATGACAATATGTTTTCTGTTGGGAAGGGTTCGATGGAACAGTTCACATCTACAACACGAACAATTGGAGCACTGAATCATCGAGTCCTCAGCCAATTTTTTCACACCGAGGTCATGAAATGTCACAGGAAGCAAAATCCAGCACTTCCCCAGCTGTGGTCACCGCTCATTCTTGGCATCCATCTCGACCAAAAACTCTTCTCTCAGCAGCTACAGATGGATCTCTGCATGTGTGGGACTGGGTGGACAAAATCACTGACAGATGATCTTGATCAGTAGAAAAAAACTATTGTGTAATGATACAAGATGGATTTTTGTCTTTTTAAAGATTTTGTGAAGTAATTTACAGCCTGAGTACAATGTTTGCAAACCAAGAATTAATAAATAACTCTGTCTTTGAGTTTTGACAATAGTAGTTATTATTATACTTTGTTGTTTCTGTTTGGTGAAATCCATCAGCAAATGATTTTAGATCATTTCTTGGAAGAGTTATTGATTCATTAAAATGGGTGTGACATTCAGGAATGAAGTAAATAGGTCACTTTAAAAGGGAACCACTGGATCATTGGTTCACCCCATTATTTCAAAACTTGCAATCATTCAGAAATGAATACTGCAGTGTTTTATTTTTATTATTGATACTGATACAGTCTTGTTGTCGCTTATAAGACTAGTCTCACTCTTTGGATTTTAAAAAACACATTTCTATTGTCTTTTTGACATTCTGAGGCACCTGATAATGTCTCAATGTGAAAATGAGTTTTTTTTTTATCCGTCAAAATATATATGTTAGAATAATATGGAGAAAGACCTAAAGTGGTTATATAAATTGCCTGGTCTATATAAGTCAAATCTGAGTTCAAACTCTTGAATGAAATTCTATATCATGTTAATATTTTGATTATTTTAATGGTTTAATGTCACATTTGTGATTACATGTGCTGTTTTAGCTGTAATTTAATCAATTCTGTTTAGTAAATTTGGTAATTTGTAATTTTTCGGCCTTGTCATCTTTCTGTTCAAACAGGATAAAGCCTATTCCTTCAAGCTCACTTTTCTCTCCACATTCCATGAGACAGGCAAAGTGTTTTCCATCCCCACACTGAGTCAGATCACTGTATCCACTTGGACCCTCATGCAGAATCACAGGATTACCCCATCCAGACAAGTCACTCGCACATTTATTTAAGTATATGCCAAGGGTTAATCGATTGGTTGCATTGGTTGGGTGGCAGTATAGCAGCCATGTTTTTTCAGATGCTTGATCAGGGGTAAAACTCAACACGCTTCCTTGGCAACCATTTCCAGTCTCTATCAGTTTATTTACAGATGAAGACGTGTCAAAATCTGTTCCTTTACTTTCACTTAGAGCCTGGACCCTGTAGTGAATTGTGCTTCGAGCATTGCAGTAAAGTTTACTGTTGCCTTCATCATCGATGATCTCAGCCATCTGACATTCATTTGAAGGTAGACCATTCATACACTTTCCGATATGCCAAGTGCTCCCTTTATCATCACTGTAGATTGCAAATGCATGCGATGTGGGTGGATTTTCTGAGGTGAAATAATATGTGTACGCTGGGATAATCAGTCTCCCACTCTTCATCTGAATTCCATGTCCTGGTCCAACAGCAAAGGTGGCCCAGTTCTTCACCTGCTCACCGATCACATCTGCTGTCAAATCAGTAACAGCACTCCAGGTTTCACCAGTGTCCTTACTGGTTATGTAACAAAGGCGTGCCTGATTCTTTTTCTCGTTTTTTTGTTGCTGTTCAGAGACCCCAACAGGGACACAAATGAAAAACAGAAAGAGGGTTTTGGACTTTCTCTCATAGACCGGACATGGATTCATGCTGCGGTGGTTTGGGAGACAAGCTGACGTAAACACCTGTTGACCACTGACCCACTTCAATAAAAAAATAAAAAAAACATGAAATAATGACTCAGTCATGCCTTTCACAATCAACTTAATTTCAGATTGAGTAAATCCACAAATCTACAAAATTGTTAAGTAGCTAAAGGAACTGAGAAAAAAAAACTGAATGATTCTAATGTACCTTAACTGGATTATTGTCATTCTTCCACAATCCTTTTCTCATCACAAGCAATTCTGCATCTGTGTCACTTGGGGTTTTCCGCTTTTCAGCAAAGGCAAGGAAGGTTTGTTTATCACTGATATATATGAGAGCTGGAATCCTGTAGGTCACTTGTTTTTTACATTGAGGCAGTTCCTGTTTGAATAATATTGATATTTCGGGAGGAGCTGAATAGCTTGATGGATGGCGTGACAGGCAACAGCAACCCATCATTATATTTTACCCTATTAACAGAATGAATAGTTAAAGTATCAGTAACACTGTGTCATATATACACTTATATCACATTAAAAACATATTAATGACATTGAGTTGCCTTGATCAAAGCTGGACATGCTCATCAACCATCTACAGCATACACTACAAGCTTTAAATTAATCATTAATACTTAAATTAATTTCTAATTTAATTAAAAGGTTAATTAACTTGCAACTCAACTTGCAGAATAATACAAATTAAGATCTTCTACAAATCAATTTATTCTATTGAAAATTAGTCAGTAAACTACCAGATGTAATACTCACAGATACGATCCTTCCTGTAGCAGCAACAGTCGAGTTTCCCTGAAAGTTGACTGCTCGAGCCCCTTGTAATGTGACCCACCCAGACTGTGCTTCCTTTATTTATAGTATTAAATATAGCGACAGAGGAAATTGACCAAATTTGGTCATTACACTTTTAAAAATCAGCTCATTTTACCCTTTGTTCCAGCAAATACTCTTTTTTCGTTTTTCAATTATTAACCCATTTTAATTCACAAAATTACAGTACTGTAACACAGAATGTAAACTCAAACTCTCAAATTCAAAACTCTATTAATATTAGTAATTAAAATTCCCTCTAGTGTCTCTCACTGAAATCCAACAATATTATTTGTGTTTGTGCTTCAGTGAGTTCTGCTATTACAGCATCACATTACATTACATGCATCAAATCAGAGTACTTTATGTACAGTACAGCACAGATGTGTGTAACTTATATCAAACAATATACACATTACACCAAATTATGTGTGCTTATATTTTATATATAATTGTTTGAAGTAATTTAAATACATATTGAAAAATGTTTATTTTATTATTAGGGCGACAGTGGCGCAGTGTTGTCGCCTCACAGCAAGAAGGTTGCTGGTTTGAGCCTCGGCTAGTTCAGTTGGTGTTTCTGTGTGGAGTTTGCATGTTGTTCCAGCGTTTGCATGAGATTACTCCAGGTGCTCCTGTTTCCCCCACAGTACAAAGTCATGCGGTACAGGTGAATTGGGTATAGGCTAAATTGTCCGTAGTGTATGAGTGTGAATGAGTGTGTATGGATGTTCCCCAGAGATGGGTTGCAGCTGGAAGAGCATCCGCTGCGTAAAACATAAGCTGGATAAGTTGACGGTTCATTTCACTGTGGCGACCCCAGATTAATAAAGTGACTATGCAATAAAAAGCAAATGAATGAATTTTTTATTTATTTTTTATTTATTATCAGCTGGGGATAATATTTAAGCACTATTGGTATTATGACATACTTTAGCAACTGAATAAAAACCAATAGTGGTTATACTATCCCTAGCTAGTAATAAATAAATAATAATAATGTTCAGCTGGGTTTTTGCACACCTTTGATTTTAAAAAGGAAAAGGGATGTTTCTGGCTGTGTTGATGTGGGAATGTTGAATGTTGAGGAGGAAAGGGACAGTATAAAAAGGGGAGTTCCATTGCAAAGGCAATCTGCACATTAGCAACACACACACACACACACACACACACACAGGCACTGTGATGGAGATTTACAGTAGCAGATACAGTAGAGCAGAGAGAAGTTCTTTCCAAGACACTGTAAGTCATAATTAATGCATTTATGAAACCAAAAAACTGTCACCAAGTAGAACACATGCTCATTTCTGTGACATGCTCAGGTCAATGAAGTTCAAGCCGAGACAACAATTCATGCATTTCAAAGATGTTCGTTAATATATTTTTTTTTTTGCTTAGTCCCTTTATAAATCAGGGGTCACCACAGCGGAATTATCCAGCACATGTTTTACGCAGCAGATGCCCTTCCAGCTGCAACCCATCTCTGGGAAACATCCATACACACTCATACACTACGGACAATTTAGCCTACCCAATTCACCTGTACCGCATGTCTTTAGACTGTGGGGGAAACCACTACACCTGGAGGAAACCCACGCGAACGCGGGGAGAACATGCAAACTCCACACAGAAATGCCAACTGACCCAGCCAAGGCTCGAACCTGCAATCTTCTACCATGTCACCCTCATTTTATAGATGTCTTCTTGAAAATAAAAAGCATACCTTTTACAGTTTGGAATGAGGTCTCGGTCCTATTTGTACAACCAAAAAGAACAGAGTATCTCTGGCTTGTATTTGTTGGATGGCAATATTGTAACCTTTTTTTTTTTTCAAACATTGAAATCGGGCAAAACTCAACATGCTTACTTGGCAACAATTACCACTCTCTGTCAGATTATGTGCAAGTAAAGGCCTGTCGAAAGCTTCTCCTTTACGTTTAGAGCCTTATTTCTGTACAGAAGATTTATTATTATAACAGCACATTCTATACAAAAATATAGTTCAAAGTGCTTTACATATACAAGATTAAAAGAAGCTAAATACAAGTATAAAAAATTTAAAGAAATTCAAATTTAAAATCGATTAAAGTTTTCTTTCCATAAATGTCCTAATTACCGCAATGCATATCCTTCCTTAATCACACTACTTTTGAAAGTGATCAGAATTTTCCTTTGAAAATATCTTGAACACCACAACCACAGACTTCAAACATAAAAATGATCAAAAACTGATTAAAAATGTGTAAAAACAGGTTTTTTAATGGAACAAAAAGAAAGAAAGACAAAATAATGCAATCTGTTGGACATAACACAGTGTTTATTCAGTTAAGGCACAGCTAAACAGATGTTTTTTTAGTATTGATGTCAATGTGTCCACTGCTGTAGCACATCTGATCACTTCTGAAAGCTGATTCCAGCAGCAGGTGGCTTATTAGTAGCTAAAATCAGATTCACCCTGTCTGAATTTAAGTACATTATTTCTAATTTACTCCATCATAATGATCTGAGGGATCTATTAGGTTTGTATTTAGTGAGCATATCTGAAATATGTTAAGGTCTTAAGGTAATAATACTATCAAATCTATTGTTAATGTAACTGGGAGCCAGTGTAAAGACCTGAGGACAGGTGTGATGTGCTTTGATTTTCTGGTTCTGGTCAGAATCCTGACAGCAATGTTCTGGATGAGCTGCAACTGTCTTTTGGGAAGGCCGGTGAAGAGCCCATACAGTATCCACCCTGCTGGTGATAAAAGCATTAACAATTTCTCACTGGAAACAAAGCATCTAATCCTTGCAATGTTTTGAGATGATAGGATGCTGAAGACAACTATTCACACCATACAGATGAATGGCAACAAACCAATCTGTTTGGTTTGTTGGATCCATGTGTTACCCCTTGTCCATATCTGTTGCCATTACTTTGAAGTTTTTATTTAATCCGACTGAACATGTTCAATCAGAGTTTGTTGGGCAGTGGAATGTTTGAGTAGTGTGTAATGATTTTCTATTAAACATGTGGACTGGACATTTACACATTTTAAACTACTTAATAACGTACAATTGCTGAAAAAATACTCAATTAGAGTAATTTGAGGATTTTTAATTAGTTACTTTACACCACTGGTGAGATTTTAGTATTATGCTAGTAGATACTGGTATGTTAGTAAACAAATGTTCACTTAGTTTTCACCAAAGCTTTCTTTTTTATTAAACATGATTAAATCATTATGCTGCCTCAGAAGTATTACATCAGTTTTACAACATGCCTTTGTGTGCAAACACTGCATCCAGTCTCTTTTTTTCCCCAAAACATTAGTTAAAATATATTTGTCAGAACATAATTTAAATGACACAACACTCACATTTATTATTACTGGCACCATGTGCTTGCAGTGGACTTCATTGGCAAGAATGCAGAACAAAGGAGAATCCATTATATCTTATGTTAATTATTATTTATATAGTTTGAAATTAGGAAACACATTATACTACACAGTTTAAATGTCTCTGACAATTAATAATAATAATAATAAAAAATAATTATATATATATATATATATATATCCCGGTTTCAAGTATCAGTATTTAAGAAGCAAAATCAACAACACAATGGCACACATGGCTATGAAAAAATATAAATTGTAATAATTATGTACATCAAAATGTACATCAATAATTCAGTGGGGCAAATAATTCTGACTTAAACTACATATATACATATATATATATATATATATATATATATATATATATATATATATATATATATATATATATATATATATATATATATATACTTTTTTGAAAATAAGAACTATATATAATAAATTATATTGTTTATAATAATTATACAAGTCTTACATTTAAAGACATATTTTGTACAATTTACTTAATTGCATGTTAAAATTAATAATAATTGATTTGTCATAATCCATTCATTTGTAGGTTTAATTTTGTAGGTAAAATGTTACAGCTTTTTCTCAGGGAGTTTGAAGAGCAAAAAGGCTATTTCTTCATTCTCGTATTCCTTCCCACACTCCATGAGACAAGCAAAGTGTCCAGGCTCAAACTCTACCAGATCTGAGTATGCACTGGGACCATGATGTAATATCATTAAAGGTTCATCTGACCACCCCGAGGAATCCAATGGGGATTTATTCAAGTAGAGTCCAAGATCCACTCTCTTTTTTGGATTGGATGGATGGGAGTAGAGCAGCCATGTTTGTGGAGGACTACTTTGTTCAAGAAAGCTCAACACACTGCCTTGACATCCCTTACCAGTCTCTATCAGCTTGTTTGAGGATAAAACAGTGTCAAAGTCCTCTCCAGCGTTGTTGCTTAGAGCCTCAGTTCTGTAACCAAGACGGGTTCGAGCATTGCAGTAAAGAGTACTATCACCTTTCTCACCTACAATCTCTGCCATCTGACACTCACATGACTCAACGTCCATTTGTTGTCCTGCCTTCCATGTGATTCCTTGATCATCACTGTAGAAAGCTAAAGCATACGGTGTGCAAAATGATAAGCAGCAGCATAAAATGCAGACAGGTTTGTCTGTGTAGCGATAGGCATATGCTGGAATAATCAGTCGGCCACTCTTCATTTGAACACCGTGTCCTGGTCCAACAGCAAAGGTGGCCCAGTTCTTCTCCTGCTCACCGATCACATCTGCTGTTAAGTCGCTAACAGCACTCCAGGTTTCACCAGTGTCCTTGCTGGTTATGTAACAAAGGCGTGCCTGATTCTTATCCTCTTTTATTTGTTTCCGTTCAGAGACCCCAAGAGGTACACAAATGAAAAACAGAAAGAGGGTCTTGGACTCTCTTTCATAGACCGGACATGGATTCATGGATCGATGGTTTGGTAGACAAGCTGAAGTGAACACCTGTTGATCACTGACCCACTTTAATAATAATAAAAAAAACATAAAATAATGACTGAATCATGTTTTTTTACAATCAAATTAATTTCAGATTGAGTAAATCCACAAATCTACAAAATTGTTAAGCAGCTTAAGATACAGTCACAAAAAAACTTAAAAATATTGAATGATTTTGATGTCTAATACCTCAACTTGATTGTCATTCTTCCACAATCCTTTTCTCATCACAAGCACATCTGCATCTGTGTCACTTGGGGTTTTCCGCTTTTCAGCAAAGGCAAGGAAGGTTTGTTTGTCACTGATATATATGAGAGCTGGAATCCTGTAGGTCACTTGTTTTTTACCTAGAGGCGGTTCCTGTTTGAATAATATTGATATTTCGGGAGGAGCTGAATGGCTTGATGAATACGCCATCATCATACTTTTAACCCTATTAACAGAATAAATAATTAAAGTATCAGTAACATGTGGCATATATACACTTATGTCACACATTAAAACCTATCAGTGAAATGAATTGAGTAGCCTTGATCAAAAGCTGAAAATGCTCATCAACTATTTTTATTTTTCTATTATCTTTTTTCTTGTCATGACTTGACAACCACCTCCAGTATATAGACTACTAGAAGCTTTACATTTCATTGTTCATTGTCACATTTACATACATTGTTATTTAGACATTTCAGACTCCATTAATTGTCTGAACATGAAAGCTTGCAGAACAATGCAAATTAAGATCTTCTACAAATTAATGTATTCAATTGAAAATTAGTCAGTAAACTACCAGATGTAATACTCACAGAAACGATCCTTCAGCAACAGTTGAGTTTACCTAAAAGTTGACTTGCTTGAGCCCCTTGTAATGTGACCCACCCAGACTGTGCTTCCTTTATTTATAGTATTAAATGTAGAGGAAATTGCCCAAATTTGGTCATCACACTTTTAAAAATCAGCTCATTTTACCCTTTGTTCCAGCACATATTTTGCTTTCTCTCTTTTGTTGAGTAACCTAATATAATTCACAAAATTACAACACCATAAACAGATAAACTGAATGAGTTAAACACAAACAATATTCAAAACCTTAATTTTAGAAATTAAAAATTGCCTTAAATGTCTTTCACTGACATCCAACAATTATAAGTTGTGTTTGTGCTTCAGTGAGTTCTGTTATGACAGCATTTTAAAGGGTCACGAAACACCAAAACACATTTTTTGAGCTGTTGACAGTCGTATATGTGTCCCACACTGCTAAAAACACTATTAGGACACCTATATTTCACTAAAAAGTGTAAATTGGTTGTTTTTGCGTTATTTCAAGCAAATTCGTACTTCCTGTTTGAAACGAATTTTTGAAGCTGCGTCACGGTCATGACATAATAGCGTATATTCCAGCGTGCAGACTGGACGTCTGTGCCAGAGTGTGCCTTATTACGTCTTACAGTGTGATGCATTAATGCATGAGTAAGGCTTGGTTCAAACCAATCAGCGCGCTCTATTGTGCAACTTCATTAATATTCATTACTGTCACCGTCTTTACACCACAGAGACGCCACGTTGTGTTGGCAAAACAAGCGTGAAGTGTTGCTTTTACAGTTTGCTGCCATTAAGTTTCGTTTTCATTTTCTCTCTGTGAGAGCTCAGCTGGATCACGTGTGGATTAACAGTGTACGCGACGCTCGACAACAATAATTTACGTGTCTAAGGGGGATTATTGTTTACCTGAGAGCTGTTCTCATCTGCAAACGCTGAAATCCGGATTCCGGATGTAGTCTTCTCTTCATAAAGACGCGGCTCTAGTTGCTGGTGATTGTCCTGTCTCTACAGATTTGGTAAGTGAGCGACCAGTGCTCTTTGTTTATTCAGTTTGTTCGTATCAAATAAGTTAATTATTGCATTGAGTGCAAACATGTTAGCACCGCATTTTGTGACCGGAATAACACACGCGGCTTTCTGACGCTACCTGCCGTGTGCATCTAAGTTTCCGGGAAATGCGGAGTTTTTTTCTGTCATTCGCCGTGCGGTATCAAACATTGCATGAAAAATACACGCTTAGAGCAGATCTTCGAATCAAATATCTCATTTGTCGCGAGGGGCATGAATGAATTCCCTGAATGAAAGAGCCGAACTGCAGTTAAAGTCCAACATTTAATAATTTGGCAAATAATTCGACTACAGATGTCCATGTAGGTTAAACACCATCCCTTTCTCCTGTGTATTTTGACTGAAACTCGCGCGTGCCCAAATAGACACTCCCACACCCTCCCACTTTAGTTTCTCCGACACTCCCCCCTAAACAGAGCTGGACACCCCCACTTTTCTGACTTTTTCCAAAGAAGAGGTGTGAAAACACCCTGCTGAAACGAGGGGGTTTCATGGCCCTTTAATATGTAAGCAACAAGATATGAGAGATGAATTGTGACAAAAAGTTAAATGGTTGAATTGACCAAAGCAGCATACCTTAATACAGTACTGGATTAATATGTTTAACTTACTGTTTATACAACTTTTACCAAACAATATAAACATCACACCAAATTATATGTGCTTATTATTTTCAAAGTTTTGAAGCAATTGAATTAAATCTAGAAAAATTATTTCTTCTATTTCATTATTATATTATTATTTATATGTATTTATTATCAGCTGGGGATAGTGTAAGCACTATTGCTCTGATGACATACTTCAGGAACTAGATGGAAACCCCTGTTTCAGTAGGGTGTTTTCACATCTCTGATTTTAAAAAGGAAAAGGAATGTTTCTGGCTGTGTTGAGGTGGGAGTGTTGAGTGTGTCAAGAGAGAAAGGACTGTAAAAAAGGGGAATTTCATTGTAAATGCAATCAGATAGAGTAGCTCAGAGTGCAGTTCTTCGCATTGCAATTCCCCCAAATCACACAATAGTCATACAGATGTTCTTTGCCATAAATAATCAACAAATTGATAAAACCAATTATCTGTCATCAAGTAGAACACATGTTTATTTCTGTGACATGCTCAGTTCAAGCCGAGACAACAGTACGGGCTTCCTAGATGCCTTCTTGAAAATAATTAGTACACCTTTTACAGTTTCGAATGAGGTCTCAGTCCTTTTTGTACAACGAAAAAGAACAGAGTATCTCTGGCTTGTATTAGTTGGATGGCAATATTGTAGCCTTTTTTTCAAACACTGCAACAGGGGCAAAACTCAACATGCTTACTTGGCAACAATTTCCACTCTCTGTCAAATTATGTACAGGTAAAGGCTTCTCAAAAACTTCTTCTTTACTGTTACCTAGTGCCTCATTTCTGTAAGGCAGGTTTATTAATATAGCAGCACATTTCATACACAATGTTAGTTCAGAGTGTTTTACATATACAGGATTAAAAGAAAAACTAAATACAAGTGCAAGACATAAAAAGAAGTTCAATTCAAAATCAACCTCAATTTTCTTTCCAAAAATGTGTTAATTACCGCAATGCGCAATCTTTCTCCTTACTTTCACAAGTGATCTGAATGTTTTTCGAAAATGTCTTGATCACCACAAAGTTCAAACACAGAAAATAAAAATGATTAAAACAGGTAACAAATGTTTCATAAAGAAAGACACACATTTTGTTATCTGTTAGACATGTCACAGTGTTCTTTCCGTAAAGGCACAGCTAAACAGATGTGTTTTTGGTATTAATTTGAATATGTCCACTGTTTTAGCACATCTGATCACTTCTGAAAGCTGGTTCCAGCAGCAGGTGGCTTATTAGCTTAAAGCAGATTCACCCTGCTTTAAGTGAACGCTTGGAATTTCTAATTTACTAAATTCTAAACATCTGAGTGATCTGTTCTGTTTGTAATGAACGTATCTGAAATATGTTAAGGTCGTAGGCCATTTAGTGAATTATAATACTATAAAATCTATTTTGAATGTATTGGGAGCTAGGGTAAAGATGAGGACAGGTGTGATGAGCTCTGATTTTCTGGTTCTGGTCAGAATCCAGACAGCAGCATTCAGTCAGGTACAAGTTAACTGTCTTTTTGGGAAGGCCGGTGAGGAGTCCATTACAGTAATCCACCCTGCTGGTGATAAAAGCATGAACAAGTTCTCACTGGAAACAAAGCATCTAATCCTTTCAATGTATTTAATATGATAGTACGCTGACTGTTTACACCACTGGTGAGATTTTAGTGTTGTGCTAGTAGATACTAGTATTATAGTAAACACATATTCCTTTAATTATCACCAAAGTTCTCTCTATTTTTTTGAACATGATTAAATCATTATGCACCATGTATTTGCAGTGGACTTTATTGACAAGAATGTAGAACAAAAGAGAATCAATTATATCTTATATTGGTTATATATTGTTTAAAATGAGTAAACACATTGTTACACAGTTTGCATTTTATTCAAATGTGTCTGACACTAGTTCAGCAAAAGTGATAAAAGGCAGTACACTGGCATTAAATTGTCTGTTATATGAATGTAATACATAATAGATCGGTTAAACTAATAATCTATTATACGTATTATAATCAGCAGAATATATACAGTACAACACAGTCTGTTTGATTCCACATAGACCCCAGTTTCAAGATCAGTATTTACGGAGATAAATTCAACAACAAACAAATGGCAAATAAAAAAAACTGGATTGTAATGAAAATTAAAATACACTTTGGTTTTTAGAATTTTCAGCTTATGCAAAAAAAAAAAAAAAAAAAAGGAGAAATTTCCATTTGTCTTAAATTAAAGATGTTCATTCATTCATTTTCTTGTCGGCTTAGTCCCTTTATTAATCCGGGGTCGCCACAGTGGAATGAACCACCAACTTATCTAGCACATTTTTACGCAGCGGATGCCCTTTTCAGCCGCAACCCATCTCTGGGAAACATCCAAACACACACACACACACACACACACACACACACACACCCACACACACACACACACACACACACACACACACACACACACACACACACACACACACACACACACACACACACACACATCCACTACGGACAATTTAGCCTACCCAATTTACATGTACTGCATGTCTTTGGACTGTGGGGGAAACCAGAGCACCCGGAGGAAACCCACACAAATGCAGAGAGAACATGCAAACTCCACACAGAAATGCCAACTGAGCCGAGGATCAATCCAGCGACCTTCTTGCTGTGAGGCGACAGCACTACCTACTGTGCCACTGCATCACCCCACATTAAAGATATATATTTTGTAATTTAGCTCAGTGAAATTTATCACGTTATAAATTGTTATATTGTACGATTCAATTGATTACATGTTCAAGTATTAATTGATTTTTCATGATCCATTCATTAAGGTTCAATTTTTTTGCAAAAATGTTACAGCTTTTTCTCAGGGAGTTTGAAGAGCAAAAAGGCTATTTCTTCATTCTCGTGTTCCTTCCCACACTC